TTTTTTCTGTGATTTCTTTTTATTTCCTTTATTAATTTTATAATAATAATATTTAAAGATTGATATAAATCTCTGTAGCCAAAAAGAGGAGGCATTGCACTGTGTTTGATGATTTAATGGAGTATGCCAACCAACAATTTTCATATTTATGCAAAATCAGTCTCTCTTTCTCTCTTTTTTTCTCTCTCTCTCACTTGCTCTTGCTCTCTCTTGCTCACTCTCCCATATATACTTAAATAGCTGTAGCGTATGTATGAATAAAATAAGCAGACTAGATAATGCAAGTTAATGATATTTAGAAAATCCTTCTTATAATATTTGTTGTTGTTGTTTAGTCACTTTTCAGTCATGTCTGACTCTTCATGACCCCTTTTGGGGTTTTCTTGGCAAAGAAACTAAAATGGTTTGCCATTTCCTTCTCCAGCACATTTTACAAATGAGGAAACTGAAGCAAGCAGGGTTAAGTGACTTGCCCAGGGTCACATAGCTATTAAGTGTCTTAAGTTGGATTTGAACTAGGGAAGATTATTCTTTCTGACTCCAGACCCAGCACTCTATCCACTGTACCACCTAACTATCCTCTCCTATAATATTTACAACTGGCAAATGGCATTTCTTTATGTTATTAGACTTTGTCTTCACATTCAATAAAGTAGGTTTAATAAACTCATATCAACATTTCCTAAAAATAGGAATTACTATCCCAGTAAAAGGCAGCTCTAGTCTATAATCTATCCAACACCATCTATATACCACTCAAATAAGAGTCATTAGTAAAAATACGCATACAAGCTGACAGTTAAAAGCAATGCATTTGAAAGAACAAGCAGATTGGACAAAGCAGGTATGTTACCCATCAAATGTTAGCACAAATGTATGTATGTGTGTATCTATGAATATGTATGTAGATATATACACACATGTATATACAACTATATGTATGCATATATATAATATATGTGTGTGATTTTCAGAAAACAATCTCTTATCTCAAAAACAAGCCCCTCAAATGACTTCAGAATAAGAAGAAATTCAAATCTTCTCTACAATCTGAAGAATTCAAGTTTGCTGGAAAACTTTACCATCATCTCCTTTTGAGCTAAGTGGCAACAGAGTAACATCAGACAATCAACAAGGCAATACACACACACACACACACACACACACACACACACACACACACACGCCCTTTGACATGCAATAAGCTTTGGTTTCCCATGCTAACATTTTGTCTTATGGACACAGTGCAATAGACTTCCTACTTCTGCACTTCTAGAATAGTCTATGTTATTACACGCATGTGTTACACACACATATGTTTGTACAAAAGGCTTAAGCATGCATGAAGCAAGTACTTCATCCACTTTTTTTTTTGGTGCCAGGCAGGTGGTAACTGTATGATAAATATTTTTGGATTGGTAAGTCAGAACATGGAGGTGGTTAGGTTAATTACATGGAAAACTCACGTACTTTGTTTCCATCAGAACCCAATGATGTCTGCATGGAACTTGAAGGAGAATCTGAAGGATGCTAGGGGAGTAAAAGAGGGGATGGGGGAGGTGTATAGGATGTGATGAATGATGCCATGGTAAAGAGAAATGAAGAAAAACAAAGACAAAAACAAATATTTTGAATTAAACAGTCTAGTCTAAGGCATTACCATGGACAAGGATTCCTGTAAGACCTTATCAATGGCAGCACAGAGCTCTTCAGTTTGCTGCCTGAGCTGTGCTGGGGAACAAAACTGGAAAAATCGAAACCAGTCACTGGGTTAGCACCATGCTTTGGGATTCTAGACCAAAAGCCCAGGAAATTTGTTATCATTACCTCCAGATGCGAGTCTAATGTGCTGTCCTTGGTGATCCTTTCTGACTTGGCAGGTTCATCTAGTGCCTAATGACAAACAAAATATTTTTGATATGAGATTTCTATCAGAAATGAATGTTATGGCCAAGTTTCTTTATCTAGGACTTCAAAGGAATCCCCAGCTATGAGAAAGAAAAAATTTCAAAAGCCTTATACCTCAACCAAATTCTTCAGATATCAAGGTTGCTTTTTTCCCTTGAAACTTTTTTTTTAGTTCATTGAAGAATTCCCTGACTTAAAGGCAGTTTCTCATGTGGAAGCAATTTCTTAGATGTAGTTCTACCTCATAGAATTTCTCCAGTGGTATTATAAAGTCTTACTTTAAGTAAAAAAAGATTGGTTGGTGGTAGTTTTAAAATAGATATTCAAGAACTTGAAAAAAAAAAAAAGTATGGTCATAATGGACACAGGTATGACCCTAGAGTCAAGGAAACTGGGTTCAAGGCACGTGCCATGTGATCACTAACAAACATCTTAACCTTTCAGTACCCTAATCAACTCTAAGCTATAATCTTGGTTACAGACAATTTACATCCGAGGAAAGGGTCTCTGTACTTGGCATTCCCTGCACAGATGAAATCACAGGTAATACAAGAACTTGCTCATCCAAATTGTCTGTTGTCCCTTAGGGGGAACCACTGACTCCATGGATGAGGTGTTCATTCAAAATATATTTGATTTTTTTCAAATTTTGGAATAGCTTTCTGGGACAGTTTCTAAAAAACAATAGACAATCAAGCTTATTAATTTATATTCATGCCTTCTCTTTAGCCCAAAATAATGTGACTCAACTTGATGAGGTACCTTGCTCAGCAGTCTGGCTATGAATGAATGAAAAAATGAATAACCTTTGGCTGTTTCTAAAAATCAAATTCATCCTCAGAGCATGAATATTGGCCAGACGGAGATTATTCAAAAGAAAGTAATGTAGCCTGAAAGACCTCCCAAAGAGAAATAGAAAGGGATGCAGAGCACTTAACTAATGAGATAACTACAGAAAAAAGTATAAATTAATTAATCAGCAAGCCTTTATTAAATACCTACTATGTGCCAGGCATTGTGTGAGTTATTGAAGATGTAAAGATGAAAGTCGAACAGATAATTTGCCAAGGTAACTTACTTGATAAGAAGACTTGCTTATATAAGTCATAGTTTGTCCGCTAAAATGAGATTAGTCTCACCATTATTTATACTTCCTATTGGTATAAAGAATTGTAGATTTTCTTATACTTTTAAAGTTGTCTTTTTTTTTAAAGGCTGCTCAAAGTTTATTCGTTTCTGTTGAGAAGTAAACAAGTTACTGAGGCTGCTGGAAAGCACATAGGTGATTCACATAGTAAAAAAATCAAACAATAACAGTGTGGTTTCTTTTACCCTTTTTTGGTGTTTTGTTTTTGTTTTGCTTTAAACATGCACACACACACACACACACACACACACACACACACACACACAAAACTACTTCTACATTTAAGCAGCCTGTCTATTCTAAGGGAATAGGTGGGAGAGGGAAGTGGGGGAGGGGAGGGAACGGTAGGAGGGGAAGGGGGGAGGAAATGGGCTCTGATACCTAGCACACTTTAGAAGCGGGGGGAGCAGCAAGGAGGGTGCTGCTGCTCACGCAGAAGGCCCAGTGATGGTCTTGCTGGGCTCTCTGACACTCCGCTTCCTCATGGCTTCCTGAGCCAGGTCACAGGTGATCGTGCCATGAGTAACCTGGAAAGTTTCTGAGTGCCACGGGGATTCCAATACAGTTGTCATCACTCGACTTCCCGAAGAAGAAGCTTGCCCACCAGTGGCCTGGGTCTGACTTGGGAAGACCAGGATGATGGGGGATCACTTCCCCAGAATACTCAGCACATCCACAGTAGCTGTTGCTGGAAGTGGAACCCAGATGTCTTTGGTAGTAGTCATGGGTTGCTAGGAGTGAACCGCTGGACAGGATTGCTGCCATGTTGCTTGTTCTTGTGATGATGTAAACCTTAATGGAGGCTCCCGAGCAGCCCCTGGCAGGCAGTGGGCTGGGGTGGACGATCACGGGTGACCTGGCTCGGGGGAAGGGGGCCACAGAGTCCATTTGTAAAGAAGATCATGGGAGAATACTCCACGGCAACGAAAATGCGAGAGTTCTTTGGGTTTCTAAAGTTGTCTTTTATCCCTATGACATTACCATTTTCTTGTATTCATGCTGGATCAAGTCATATCCCAAAAGATTCAGAATCTATCATGTTGATATTGGTAACCATTTTTGTTTTTCTTCTGATTTTCCTGTTTTACCAGCCATGGCATTTAACATCTATCTGCCTTTTCCCCCTAGATCGAACATGGTGAACAATCTTCAAAGTATAGATGTAAAATCTGGGGTTCTACCAATCAGAAGGCAAGAAAGTAACATGGGGGGACGGGGTCAGGATTATTCTTCTTTCACAGTAAGACTATTATCACTTCCTTATTCTAGTTCCTGGAAGTTATCCCTCTCTAAAAACTGCCCAAGATCCAATCATCTCTTTTGTCTTCCATATAATGCTGTGACTCATGTTGAGTTTGCATTCAAGAAAAACATCCTAAATCTTTTCCAAAAAAATCTTCTATCAAACCATGATTATATAATTTCATAGTCATAAAAGTCAGTTTTTTTGAACCTGGCTAAGAGACTTTATATTTAGTCCTATTAAATTTCATGCTATTGAGTTTGGCCCAGTGATCCATCCTATTAAGATAACTTTTTCCATCCTGACTCTGTCATGAAGTCTGTAAGTTATCCTTCTCATCTTTGTGTCATCTTCATAGTTGATGAAATACTTTTAACTAAGTCTTCAATAAAAAATGTTAAATACCAAAGAGCCAAGTACAGATGTCTGGTGCGCGCCAATGAAAACCTCCTCCCATCTTGCCATTATCCCATTACAAACTATTTTTCAGGTGAGGCCACCCAACCAGTTCCAAATCCATCTAATTGTACTATCATCTAGTCCTTATCTTCATCTTTTCCACAAGTACAGTATGAGATACTTCATTAAATTTTGCTAAAATCTAGGGAAATTATAGCTACTCCATTCCCCTAATCAACCAGTTTAACAACTCTGTTAAAAATGGAAATAAGGTTAATCTATAATGACCTATTCTTGATGAAACTATGTAGGCTCTTTGTGAGCATTACTTTGCTTTCTATAGTAGATATTTATTAGTCAGAATTGTTCTAGTTTTTCTCAGAAACTTGAAGTCAAATTCACTAATCTATATGATTTCCCTTCTCTCCTTAAAAAGTTATGACTTTTTTTCTTATATTTATATATATGACTTTTTTCTTATATAAAACATCTCCTGTTCTCTATGATTTTTCATACATCACTGAGAGTAGTTCAACAATCATATCAACTAAATCTTTTTTGAGCCACGGATATAAATTTTCTGAGCCAAGTGACTAGAATTCATCAAGAGCAGCGAGGTTCTCTCTTCCTATCTCCTTACTTATATCTCCAACTCAAAAGTGGCTATTTTTCTGTGTTTTCCAGTTCAAAGATAATTTCTCCTTGGCAGGAAAAAAAAATTGAGTAGGATTTGACTATTACCATTCATCATTATACCATTCCCCTTTAAGCAGCAGTTCTATCCCTTGTTTTGTCTTCATCTTTTCCCCAATTTAGAAAAAAATGAGAATCGTTTTAAAACTTTCTTTTCCTTTCCTCATTAAAGTTTTATAACTCTTCACAATATGTTACAGTGTTAAGCTTTGCTTTTTGTGTTCATTATCCTCTGTTAATTTTCCTAATTTCTATGTTTGCTACAAATCCTTCAAAAGTATGAGGTGGTTGATGAGTTCTTTGTGTAGCCACATGGGTTTCTTCAGACAACTACCTTTTTTTTTTTTACTTCTGTCTTATGAACTTAAATCTTGAGCTTTGTGTTCATAGGACCTTTTCTTCCTCCGAATTCTCTGACATCTGTTCTAGACAACTATGAGATGCACATTAGGGTATGTCAAGTTTATCTCTTCTTTTATATCAAAAGCTCAAGGAAAGAGTCATGATTTTAGGGGCAGCTGGTGGTGCAGTGGATAGAGCACCAGCCCTGAAGTCAGGAGGACCTGAGTTCAAATCCGGCCTCAGACCAAACACTTGACAAGTACTAGCTATGTGACCTTGGACAAGTCACTTAACCCCAATTGCCTCACCAAAAAAGAATCATGATTTTACCTCAAAATTCCTGTCATTTCCTCCCCAGGAATGAATTCTTTTCTGCAAAGGATTATTAGACTCAACCCATACTTCCCTCTTGATGGCTCTACCACCTTTGAAGAGAGAAATTGTCATTAATGGTGCTTCAAGAAAGTATTTGCTGACTTCCAGGGACAGAACCAAGACAACAGAGTAAAGAAAGCAGTCAACTGAGCTTTCCTAACATTCCTAACAAACAACTTTAAAATAATGCCCCAGATAGAATTCTGGAGTGGCAAAGACAATAAAAGGTCAGAGTGAGACATTTTTTCAGCCAAACAGCACTTGGGGGGTTGGAAGGAGAGATCTATGATATGGTGGTGGAAGCTGGCCCAGAGCCCACATGGATGAAACACCAGTGGTGGGACTAGGTGGTGGCAACAGAAACAGCAGCAACATTGGGAGCTCTCAAGGCAGAAAGTAAGGGGATCTAGCAATTGGTAAGAAAGAGATTACATGGGACTCTTATGCTAGCAGTGGAAATAGGACCAACTGCCTATCCAGGGGTAGGGAACATGTGGCCTTCTAGGTCCTCAGGTGTGGCCATTTGACTGAGTCCAAGTATTACAGAAAAAAATTCTTTTATTAAGGGGATTTGTTATGTGAAGCTTGGATTCAGTCAAAGGGCTGCACATGAGGACCTAGAGGGCCACAGGTTCCCCACCCCTGAGCCCTATACTGCATTTTAGGTCATAGTTCAAGGATGAAGGGAATCATTTTCAGTCAAGAGGGCATGGGAGCTTTGTGGAACAACATCACTCTTGGTAACTAGGAATCAGGGACCCTGATGGAATGTGTTAGAAACCAGAA